CAGGGATGGCTCCGCCTCCTCAAAGCACCTGCCTCAATTCTGGCGCAAGGAGAGCTTCAAGGCTGTGGAAGGGGCCTGGCCTGTCCTCCCAAGCAGGTCCTGGGTTACACAGGTTCGAGAGGCCTGTGTGTCAAGGTGGATGGTAGGAATGGATCCCATTCCATTTCTGCAAAGTCTCTGGCAAATGACAGGATGTGAGGGAAGACAAGTGGATCAGGAGGGCCGGGGGTAGGGGGTACTGATATATGACACTGGCTTTCTCCAGCGGGAGTACTATTTCAGTAAACTGATTTTAAACTCCAACTAATCTATCAATTACCACAGAGTCAGCAAAATTGAGGTCTAAAAGGCAACTTCTCTGAGTTTCACAGTGAAAGAACTGGGTGACACAAACGGTCAGTTGGCTAACCCAGTATCTATTTTCTCCCCACTTCTCCCTGAACTGTCTCAACTAGAATGCACGATTAAAATATACGGGCTGAAAGAATATGGGTCTTTTCCCTTTTCCAGCCTCCCTTGCAGCTAGAGTTGAACGAGTGACACATTCCTGCTCCAAAAGTCTGCTGTGCTAGGACGACTACAGTTGGTCCTGATGAGGGAGCAGCCGTAGCTGGTGCCCTTTCCACCTTCTTCCCTGCTTTGGAAGGAAACAAGATGAAGACGGGCCGCAGGAACAGCACAGTCTTCATCCATGACACCACGGAGTCACAGGATCATCAGCAGCTGCCCATGCCAGACTTCTTGCAACGTGCAGAAAATAAGGCCTTACTTCATTTAAGCCATGAGAGTTGGTATTCTCATTATTTATGGCCAGAACACTCCTGACTCATCTCTCTGAAGGCAAAGTTCGTATCTGTACCACGATACCAGCGAGGACTGCAAGATACAGCCACTTTATTTCATCCCTTCCAAGAACATCTCTTGTAGCATTTTAACATCTTAAGAATTAGGATGCAAACTGGAATAATCACCAGCTTTTTCCCCTTAACATAATTAACGGTACTTTGGATTTGAAGAAATACTGTGTTTAAAAAGATTCTGTAAAATGGACTGCCACACTCATCAGCTTTCTGGGTTCTCCAAAGATCATGTTGTCCCCTCACTGCCTCTTATGTGCCCAGGACAAATGGAGAGAGAGATAAGAATGGTTAGTCTTTATCTCCAGGGACGAGAGTCCACAGACCTGTTTAAATCAACACAAGCCCTGGCAAACTCCCTGCTGCTAGGAAAGGTCCCTCTGAAATTGTACCAAAAGATATTTATGCTGCTCTTAGTAAATCTTCCCAATTGTTTTTGGAGCCTGTGATCCATCCTATTGGTTGTCTGCAGTGGTCTCCAACTTTAGAGCATATATTTGACATTTGAAAACAATGAAAAGTCACCCCTGATCAAATCTTGGGAATAACAATTAAAATACAGAGTTTGCTTTAAAAGGCTGACTAAAACAAGCATATTGCCATCTCAAGATGACCTCCAAGGGCATCAAGAACTGTAGCCCGTTTCTTTTCTAAGTGCCTTCCGCCCATCACCTATTTGGGAGACCTGCAAGTGGAGAGCTTCCACTGACCTGGCCCCAGCCCATCAGCAGACGCAGGCGAAGACTCTGTGTCTCAGTTTTGTCCACTTGCTCCACTGGTTTTGGATTATTTTTCCCTTTCTGCATAAGTGTAAGGAGTAGACTAGTATGTCTCTGTGACTCGGTACAGATCTTAGTCCTCAGTTTTCTATCTGGGCCAAGATGAACTTTAATCTTGGAGGTGAGCACATTCTATTTTATTCGTCCCCTCCGGGACAAAGGCTGTAGGAACTCGGTGTTGACAAGATGGTTCTTGGGTGTTGCTAAAGCTGCAGAAGTGAGAGGACAGACTCAGGAGAGTTTCTGCTGTTGTTTTTGTCCCAACTCATATCAGACATTCCCAGTTGTAGCTAGGGTATTAGACCATCTGGCTTCAGAAATGCCCTGTAACTCCCTGGTACCACCACCTTCTGACAGCTTCTGTCCACACAAATAAGAAATAGAAAAGAAATAGACCATATTTTTCAACTTTTTACTTTTACTAGGGCAGGGGTAGAAAAAAGGCATGCATGTATTACATAACATTGTCTAGATTTGCCAGAGATGTTTCTAACCCGAGTAGGAAGACGACCTGAGAAGGGAGAGCGGAATCTCTTTGTGTTCTTTGTGTTCGAAATCTCAGGAGGAGATCCCTCAGCAGGGCACAAAGAGCCTTAATACTAGTAACAGATACAACATCCTTGAAATAAACACCAAAAGTGATATGGCCACATGGAATAAGTGACTGATTCTTTTGACAGTGTGTTTGATCTTGCCCCAGTTTACCCTCATGTAATCAAATTCAATCCCAACAGCTTGGAATGCAATTTTTAAATTCTGAGCAATGACAGATGTCTCACACACGCTACCTTTTGTGCTCTTCCTGGCCAAGCTGTTATCTACAGTTATTTCAAAGGAAGGAAGAGTTCACGTCTGTCCTTGCTTCTGAATGGGAGGTTACAAAGAGGCTTGATTCTGGCCACAGATGGAGGAGTGAGAGCTCTACTTCACCCTAAGGAGGAGCCTAGTTCAACTGTCACCTACATTTGACCAATTGCAGTTCTAAACAGCAAAGCATCCATGTCATTGAGAGATGACTGAACTCCCTCTGGGCAGCCTGTTTTCACCTTTGGCACTTACATGTGTCGCCTAAAATAACCAACCTGGAGCACACAAGTGAAAGGGATGCTGCACTGGGTCCTCGGGGGACATGAAGATTCACTCACCCCTCACAGACGACTTAAGCCTGGGAGGCCCATGGACCTGTGCCTCCCTGCTCCCCTCGAGCTGCTTTCCCTGAGGTTGCCCATCACTCTTCTTTCTCTTTAAGCTCCGCCCTCATTTATGAGAGAAGCTTCATCAACACCAGTGCTGGGAGCTGCCAGAACACCCCATCATCACCTTGCTCCTCAAGCGCCCCCAGGGTGCCACCTTGCTTCTGCTCTCCTCCCACATCTCGCCAGGACCCCAACCCCCCAGCAGTTTACCAAAGTATTTACCCAACAAGCCAGATCTGTTCCTAAGGGAAAACTGTGCTGCAAAACACATTTCAGTTCCCATCCTGTTCTGCTAAGACTATAGGCTTGAGTTATACGCTCAATCCCAGCAATAACTCTGTGAGGGCTGTTGTAATTTCCTGCTAACTGAAGACGTAACAGGGAGCGACTTACAAAAATTCAGACTCTCCCAGGCTAAGATCCCATCTCAGGTCTGTCACAGCCCCTGCCTGGGCCTTACCCACCCACAATACTGCAGTACAAAGGCAGGCAGACAGGCAGGCAGGCCTGGGCCGAGGGGAGGCTGCAGATAGGCGAGGCTTGTGTCTGGGGCTGCTTCTTGTATACTGCAGGCAGCACCTGTTCCCATACTCAAGCAGCTCCAGCAAAGCCATCTACGAACCCCCTTGTCTTCTCCTGGGCCATCTGTCCACAGATGAGATACGAGTGATGTAATGATTTTGTTGCTTACAAAAGCTAAGGGACTTGCTAAGGCCACACAGCTATTAAATGTTACTGACATTAAGAGTCTCTAACATCTAGGTGATGCTTTGAAGCACTATGCCATTATGCCTCTCTAAAAGAAGTCTAGTCCTGGGTTATATGCAGATGGAGAAAACGGGCATCTCCTTCCCTTCCAAAATGGCCAAAGAAAGCCAACACTGTCTAAGTGGGGATGAGCAATTCCACTTCTGATTAGGTGGACTGCCCTGTATGTAGCTGGAAGTGTACAGATGAGAGAAACCCCCTCTCCCCACCACCCTTCTAACATTTCCCTGCCCACTCTAGGGAGAGTGACCTACAAATATGACTGGTGACTGGTCCAGAAACACTAGGAGTCATGAAAGCCCTGATATTTATGTGCGTGTTAAACAGTGTGTGCACTTTCACTTCCTGCTCTACACTGCCAGTCAGGCAAGAACGCCTTGGCCTATTTCTTTCTGAGCAGGCCCAACAAGACGTTCTTGCTCCCTCTCAGGCTTGGCAGCCAGCTGGAGGTAAAATCTGGATCAGGAAATAGACAAGAACTCTAATCCAAGAGTTACAAAACAGCTGTTTCAAAGATCTTTGAAATACACTAACATGAAGCAGTATGTTGATTTCCACTTTGCTGTCTGCTCTTTGTGCATTCAGCTCTAGCAGGGAGTTAACAGGAGAGGGATGGTTGGCGGTGGGCTATGGCCATTCCTTGGGCCCTGGGTGTGATACTAACTTGCGTAATAAAAACTTCAGGTGACCACATAGTCTATAATCCATACCTGGACACTTGTGAGAGTGAAAGAGAGCATTATTAATTATGCCAGGACAATAATTCCCCATAAACTGGGATGCACACTGTTAAAATTAGCAAAACCTACTGAAGTGTCTTAATATAACCAAACTTTCTCTCTTTGAGACCTGCAAGTAGAAAATAATGATTTGATATAATCCTAACTACTGGTGGTAAAATTACCCATTTTTGGTTCACTGATATGGTAGAACTGGACCAAGAATCCTTTGATCAATGAGAGTACCACTATAACTCTGCTTGAAATGGGTATGCAAGGAAACTGTGCTCCCCTTCCCACCCCGCTTAAGGAAAACCATGTATATAGAGGGCCAAAGTAAAGTTGTGATTAAAAAGACTGAACTACATACACAGAAATGGGCCAGTCCAGTCCTCACCCCCAAATTTTCCTAACTCAGCCGCTTGCTGGCAGGAAACAAATGCAACTGCTTGTTCGGCATCAGCTGTGACTGTTGTTGGAGGATCAGACAAAGGACTCCTGAGAAGGGTTGAGAAACTCACCAACCACACCACAGTTCCAGATCTGACACTAACTACTTTACGAAGGCTGCATTCCTCACCAATATACTAAAGGTCAGGATGAAATCTACTTTCTAGAAACTTCAAAGCACGTGAGTAATATACCAAGATCAATAAGACCACAAAAGAAATAATACACCAATCAGAAAATAACAATGACTCTTTATAAACTTGTATGGGGTCTATATTACCCTTACATAGGCATGTACTCATTTCACAGAGAATCGGGAGATCAACCTCCAAGAAACCTGCCGGGACTTTCTCCAGAGCTCTGGCCTCCATTAATGGTCTCCTCCAGCTTCTTCTGGTAGAATTCCCAGCCCCACAGCGATGGCAACTCTCTGAGATCCCCCAAACATCCATGAACTACATCATGTCCAGCTGGAAATAAGAACAGCATACTTAGAAAGGGGCCGGGCATGGTGGCTCACACCTGTAATCCCAGCACTTTGGAAAGCTGAGGCGGGAGGGTTGCTCAAGGCCAGGCGCTCACAACCAGCCTGGGCAAGATAGCGAGATCCTGTCTCTACCCGCCCCCACCCCCCCAAAAAAAAACACTAAAGGAACCAGGCCAACTTCGGACCACTGCTCCTCTGGTGAGAGAGTTGAATGAAAATGGTACTCTACATTGGTAGGTGCACATGAACTTGCACACTTATTCACTGCTCACTAGTTTAGGAGTTGAAAACCCCATTTCTCTTCCCATTTTAGTACTAAGGAGTTCTCCACTATAAGACAGAGCATAGTATGTAGTTTTGTTGAACGGTTATGTGAGCCGTAAAGGCAGGACGTTTACAAACATGAAAGATGGATACAAAAGCTAGTATATTTCCATAGCTTCCCAGGCATCCACAACACGCTTTAATTCTCAAATGCCTGTCAGTCTATTTTGTTTACATTAAGTTAATTGAGACTTAACAGTTTTTTAAAGGTTGTTTGTTTGTCAGCCCACGCAAATTGCATGTTGTATTGCTTATTTTTAGTTAAGAGCAATTTCAGAGGATTATAACATTTTGTTAGTAAAGGAATAGCTTCCCTGGCTCTTGTTTAGCCTTTCAAAGGAAAGGATTAATCTGAATGAACAATGTAGCTAAAACCATAGAACACAGAAATTTCCATTATGAAATTACTTGATTAAATTTGTAATGGCAATAAATAACAGTTTAGGGAGCTTCTGGTTTGTTGACAAATTAAAACACAAATAAATAACAAGTCTATGATAAGCAGCCTTTGTGGCTGTATTTACAGCCCAGGTAATTTCCATCATTAGAACACCTGGTGTATTTTTTTGTTTTTGTTTTTGTTTAGAAAGCAGGATTTATTGAGAGGACAGAAAAGTTCCCACAGTAAGAGGGGGCCCAAGGGGGCTGCCCCACCTGGTGTATATTTAAAAGTACTTACTAAGTCGTCCACATCACCACCTTCTTCAAGTACAGCTGCTGTATCTTCATTTGGTTTTTCTTTGGGAGCCAGAAACTGTGAATAGAAAGTAAGTTATGGTACCTAAATGACATTTTTGCCTCCTTTGAAGGAAAGAACAATCTGCTAGCATTGTTACAGGCAAACCTAAGAAGACTTGCTTAGCGTTCACACTGCAAGCGACTCAAAAGAAACTTCATTTTGGCATATTTTCCTTCACTTAGCTCTGGAGGAGGCCCAATTTTGAGGTTCAACAGTCCACACTAACTCGTCGTCACAGAAAGTTCCGATGAAGAGGCAGATGACATGGCTCATCAAAACAGAGACTACGTGGAGGGTCCTGGATCAGCATGGTGGACACCTGGTATTTCTATTTCTGCCACCACGGGGACAAGTTGGCTTGCTAAAGTTAAGAAAATAACCAACCATCCCCAACAGCACACTCTTTCCGAAGGAGCACAAGACTCAAGTTAAGATCAGAAGAGTCTATTCTTGAACAGGGTAGAGAGGACTTCTCGTAAGAAGTGCGAAATGCAAAAATGGGCAAGCTTGGGAGGGTAATTCCTTTTATGGAAATCTTTCAATTTTGTGAGAAATTGCGTGAAAACTGGCAGATGACAAACGAATGACAAAACTGTTCGGCTTCAGTGTTCTGGACCTCGAGCTTCTAAAAGGCAGAGACACAGAAAAACAAAGCCCTGAGTGAGGTCTGCAAGGATCTAGGAATGACACTCGGAGTTTAAAAGGGTAGTGAGTGCCTTGAAAATCATCTTTCCCCTTCCTGCCCCCACAAGAGACAGCAGTGGGGGGTTTTCCTTCAAGGCATGTGGCAGCTGCATCTAGGAGCAAGGCTCTGGCATCGCCTGTGTAGCCTAGCACGAGAAGGTGGTGATCTCAGAGCACCAGCACTTCAGCAGGCAGCAGAGCCACGTCTGGAGAAGTGAGTATTTTAAAGGGGTCAGTGGAAGATGGGTGTGTCTCTCTCCGTGGGCGTTCCTCTGGGCTGGTGTGCAGGGAACACGCGTGTGGTGAGTGAATCTTCCAGCTCACCACTGCTCTCCGGCAGCTGCCTCTACCCAAGAGGACAAGCAGAGTTCTACTTTTCTCACTTTCTCAACATGAAAAACAAATGACGAGACCTGCGTCCCATCTACATTCCTGTTATTTTTATGGTACAAAGGACACAATCAAGGCCTCTGAAACCTAAGAATTCTAAATAAACTAAAATACGCTTAACACATCATAAACCAGTCACCTGTTAAGTATCAGGCTGCATGCAGCAAATTTTGGAAGCAAGCTCTGCCTGTCCTTCCATTCCTCCTAAATCAAATTCACACACAGGTAACAAAGCGGCAACAGGGGAAGCTGTATCTGCCTCACAGGGCACTGTCTTTGTCAGCACCATGGCCCTGTCCATTGGGGTCTGTTGACTCATCCACCCTCCTGAGCTTGTTATTTCTGTCAAAGCGACCTCACTATCCAGTCCCTTCTGCTTGACTTCTTTTAACGATGTTGATGGATCTTTTCACAGGCCTTTGTCGACCCTAAGCTGGACCATGTGCAGGGCTGGGAACAAGCAAAGGGGCAGACAGTCTGGTATAGTATTGTAATAAAACCTCTGTATCATTAATCCTGTTTATGCATTTGGGGTGATTATTACAAGAGACATCTGAAGGTCAAACACAGATAAATGAATAAGAAGTTTATACATTTGCTGGCATATAATTTATGCCAAAAAGTTAAAGAAACTGTGTTCTGGAGCGGCCACTGCATTCCAGTCTGGGCGACAGAGTGAGACTCCAACTCAAAAACAAATAAACAAACAAACAACAACAAAAAAGAAACTATGTTCTATCCTAGATTCCCAAATCAATTTTTCTTGGGGCTTTCCTGATTAGTATAATTATAGCTCTCCTCTCCTACTCATTAGCATGATTTTCCCTATATCAAGGATATATAGATAGCTACAGGATAAGACTCGTGCACGTGGGGTGAAGAAAAAAGTAGAGCTGTATCCTGTCATAAACCTCTGTCGGGTCATAAATGACCCGCACCTTCCAAACATATGAAAAACTCTAGGGGTTCAGTGGTTCTGCAGTCCACGACACTTTTTATTACCCCTTAGATAGGGGCTTATTGATGAATCTAGAAAATCCCTGATGGTTTTTGGCACTTAGTCTCTAAAAGCTCCAATTCCCACTTCCTCTCTATCTGCAAAGCCCCCTTCACACTTCAATTAAAGGATAAATTAGGATAAAACTGCACAGTATGGACATGGCATGTATAATTAAACACAAAGGGCCCATCTCTGAGACTAGGCCAAATTCCTAGGAAGGAAAGAGCAGTCCTTCATTTCCATCAAGTGCTAAACATCTGCAACTGACTTTCCTGACAGATCTGCTTCACATTTCTGTGTAAGCAAATTATGGCTGAAAGCTGGGCTGCCATCCGTTATCCTTCCCAAAGCCCCAGGCAAGGCTGATCTCTACACACATCACTCTTCCTCATCAGTTTTTAACTGCATGTAATTCTGGGCTGTGCAGTGACAGGGAAGCTGGAGACAGAGTGGAGAATGTAGTGACTGGCCTGCTTTCTCAATAAAAGCAAGAGATTCTCTGAACGCGGCACAGGGGTAGGAGTCAATGCTCATCTTTTCTTGTGTTCTTCCCCCCACTGCATGCTTAAAAGATAGAGAATACACAGAAAGAACAATTGTGTGACATATTCCTTTTTCCTTAAACCACTGTCTCTTACTTGGGGTTACCATGAAAGCACCGCCTGACCTGGAGATCTTTATGAAATGGATAACCTACTACTTTTCAAGTACCCTGAAATACAATCCTGGCCACAAGCAGAGAAATGGAATCAATAACCTCTGTAAAGAAACTGCCAGTCCCATCCCTCCAAAGACCAAAAACTAACAATCATCTTGTGCTCAGACCCTCACCGATCCCTAAGTTAAAAATACATGACCTCCACTGGGCTGATTCCAACACCATCAGGTGATTAAGGAAAAAAAAAATCACTCCAATCCAGATGTATAAAACAATTTTTTTAAAACCTGAAAGTCAGTTTATGTGTATTTTTCTAAAAATAGCACACATTTGGGTTTCAGTAAGGCCACCTGTAGCTTATTACATACTATAAAGGCAATAGGGTGTAGCAGAGAAATCCTGCAGCCCAGTGTGGAGAACACAATCATAGCCTTAGCTCTGTCAGTTGCTCAGGAACCCTGGCCATGCCACCTGACCGTACGATACAACTCATTTTCCTCAACAATAAAAATGTGACTACACTTCCTATTTTATGGGATTGTGGCGAGTCTCATGAAATAAAGTATGCAAAAATTATTTGTGGCAGTGTAAGCTTTATGTTCAGATTCCTCGGAATATACCCAATATATGCCCACAACTGCTTTGTACAAGAATATCTATGACATCTTTATATAAAATTTGGAAACAAGTAAATGTCCATCTTTAGAAGAACAAATGAATAATTGGTGATATAATCACAAAAGGAATACTATGTAGCTATAATAAAGAATAAATATAAAAGGACCTTGAACCACTATCATAATATTATAAGAAAGGGATTGGCAGTAGTGGGAAACCGCAGGGAGGGGGTATACCTCATCAACAAGGGCACCTGCGTAATGAGCATTTATATACCTAACTCTGAATGGTACCCCACATCTTTAAAAAAAAAGAATAAATAACACAGATACATTTAAAGAAGGCATGACTCCAATTACCTGAAGGTCAAAAACAGGCAAAATGACTCTCAAGTGACAGAAAATAGTGGTTACCTTGGGGGAACAGAGGGGTTCTGACTGGGAAGTAGCCTTATGAGGTGATAAAAATGTTCTATTATTTGAATCTCGGTGGTAAGTACTCAGATATGTGAATGTGTAAGAATTTATTAAGTTGTACACAAAATCTATGTGCTTACTGTATATAAATTTTACCTCAATAAGTTTTAAGTTTATATCTCCCAAACTTTGCCTGTACAATGACTACTTGTACACTGAATCCTGAATTGTACCCCACATCTTTAAATAAACATAAATAATTAAATTTATATCTTAAAAGTATCAGACTCTAAACAAATGTTAGGTAACATTGTGATATTTCCATTATCGCTATTCTTGTACTGGCATACAGAAAAACTACACCAGAGATTTAACACAGGAAAGGCAGGCAGAAAAGAGTAAAGAAAAAATGTCATAGGGTCCAACAGGGGACAGCAGTTTGAGAAAACTATTTTCAAAAACTGATTCCTAAACTTTGTTTTCTAATCCTGCCCAAGGTTTTGGAGATCTCTTACACACTCACACACACATACAAGAGGGAAATGAGAACCTTTTTTCTGAGTACATGTGGCATGGGGTGGGGTGGGGGTGTGCCATGGTGTGGTGGGAAGGTGACTGTGGTGGGAGAACAGGGGTCTGGATTCTAGTTAATTCTGCTAGCCTAACCTGCTGTGAGACACTGAGCTAGTCAACTTTACCTCTCAAGATGGTGTCAGTAAAATGACCAGTAGCTAAGCTCTGAGCATCTGCAATAACAAAGGAGAGAATCTACACGTCAACAATAATAAAGAAGGATACATTAGGTAGATACAAGGAAAACCAGTGCTAAAGCAATGATCCCCCCCCAATAGAGTTTGTATAAAACGACTATTTAGACATAGCTCAAAGTGTCACAAAAACAATACTCCAAAGCCAGAAGGATAAGTCCTCCCTCTCCATTGTGTTCTCCATATGGAGGGAAAAGATGGAGGACTATAGGACCGTTCTGAACAGGATTCTTGGCCAGGGGCTTGCTGTGAGCTCTCAAACACTTCGCCTTCCTCTCCTCCCCACCACAGGGTCATGCAGTGAGGATGAACTAACTGATGAAGGGCACAAAAGGGGCCTATTAAAAACTTTAACATACACCGAATGCTAATGGCATCGCTAACAATACCAACTAGAAACAAAAAAAGTTAAGTGAAAGAACTGACAGGCTACAAAGACAATAAAGATGAGTATAAAAAGAGTGGCAATATTTATGTGTGGGTTTCCAAATGAAATGAGAGATAAAAGGAAACTTAAAGTGACTAAGCTTACATCACGAAAGCAAGCACTTTCTAATTCTGCAGCAGGGCTGGTTTCTATTTCTCCCAGAATCATAAAATCCACATAGTTCTAGAACACACTAGAAAGAAACGGCATGCCTTAAGATGCTGTACAAGTGTAAAGTTAAAATTTGATTCTCATTTAAAATGGGCATCCCAGCTGGGCTCGGTGGCTCAGCCTGTAATCCCGCGCCTTTGGGAAGCTGAGGTGAGTGGATTGCCTGAGCCCGCAGGTTCGAGACCCGCCTGGGCAACTTGGCGAGACCTCATCTCTACAATAAATCAAAAATCAGCCGGGCATGGTAGCGCGAACCTGTAATTCCAGGTACTTGGAAGGCTGAGGTGGAAGGATCGCCGGAGCCCAGCGGGTCAAGGCTGCGGTGGCCGGGAGCAGCCACTGCACTCCAGTCTGGGTGACGGAGTGAAACTCCAACTCAAAAAAATAAATAAATAAAATAAAATAAAATAAAATGGGCATCTCTGGATAATTATTGTCTCTCAAATGCCAAGATTTAATAGCAAAAAGCTGACAGTTCAATAACTTTAAATAACTTACAGTAAATACCTCAAAAGAATTTAAATGGACTGTGAGGACTGTTATTCAATCTGGTTAATGTCAAATTTCTTAAATGATTATTTGGGAAGTGTAAATGAATGTGTAAGCGATACTTCCCCAACTTGGCTAAGAGAAATAGCTGAAGCAGTTCTCTCCTATTAAAACCATCAGGAATCAGCTTCCTTGAGCTAGAAACTTCCTCTGCAATTCACCACATTATCATTTCTATGTGTACTCTCCTTTCTATACTCCTCTAAAAGTCATCAGATACCATTTAAAAAATACTGTTATAAAAGAGATCGAGTTTTCACTCTGAAAAATAAAATACAAAGTTCACGTTCTATTAAAGCAGACACCAAAGCATAATCTTGCAAGTTAGACGTGACCGAACGTACGCTGAAGATGAATCAGAATTACAGGCTCCGCTCTATGGTCTAGGTCATTCCAACCAACCACCTGGTTCCAGACCAGACAGCCATTTGTTGAGATGAAACAGAACTACCATATTTTAGAGATTGCTGGTCAAGATTCCATTTATAAGACTTAATCCATTTAGAAATGAGAGCACAGTGTGATGCGCAGAAACTAGCATTTTAACCATCTGCCATCTCTGTGAGCTCACACTGTGACCCCACGTCACCTTTCTGGGGCTTGGCTTCCCAGGGAGAACAGGGACAGTCGTTCCTGCTTCTATCAATCCTTAGCAGAACACTGTGAGGGCTTTGGAGTACTGGGCTTTTGGGTTCTGGATTATATACACAAAAGTTTATCACTGTTATTTTCTACCATTATTCAGATATGATGTATATAGTGTTTGAGGTAAACATCACATAATGTAAATGTCCTTTAGAAGTCAAAGTTTTGGCTAGGTGCTGTGGCTCATGCCTATAATCCCAGCACGTTGGGAGGCTGAGGTGAGAGGAATGCCCGAGCTCAGGGGTTCGAGACCAGCCTGGGCAACTTGGCGAGATCTCATCTCTACAATAAATATAGAAAAATTAGATAAGCGTGGTGGCACACACCTGTAGTTCCAGCTACTTGGAAGGCTGAGGCGGAAGGATCACCCAAGCCCAGGTCGATGCTGTGGTGACCATGAGCGTGCCACTGGCCTCCAGCCTGGGTGACAGGGCGAGACTCTGCTGGGCTCAGGCGATCCTTCGCCTCAGTCTTCCACGTCCTAATTTCTTATCTACCATGACAGTGAAGGTAAGTTTTGCTGATAGTAACAAGCATACTTACTACTGTGCTTGACTACAGGAACACTGCTCCCAAAGGAAGAAGACACCAGTTAGCCAGGCAACCAGTGGTGGGAGAAGAGATCCTCTCCACTTGTTTATTTTTTACTAAGTTCTCTGTATTCAAAGAATGGGGAGTGTCCAGAGCTGTCTTAAACTACAACTGAAATCAGTTCTAGTGATATAATAAGCATCTAAGGATACTACCTCATGCCTGGTCATTACCTAAAATTTCCCTTTATAGCTTAATTATCAGACATTAAAATTCCTGATGCTTAGGCTCAGTGCCCTGAAATTCCAAAGATGAGATTGTATTTGCAATATAAAGGAAGTTTCACACAATCTGCAAATGCATTATCCCTTTTCAGATTTCTTCCCTTTATAAGATTCTGGATGCATTTAGCTGAAACACCTTTGGTTAAGATGTACTGCTGAGAGGAAACATGACCTTTTTTAGACCAGTGCTCCCTACTACCTCTAAAAACTCTGACATGTACTCAACTCTCACTAAATGACAACTTTTTAAAATGCAATAATGACTAAAATTAAATAACTTTTATTGACTTGTTTGGCAAAAACTGATCGTCTTCACCCTATGTGAAAATTAACATTATGTGTCAATCTGTGAAGGTGCCACAATCACATGAGCCAATTCCTTAAAGTCAATGTGTGTGTGTGTGTGTGTGTGTGTGTGTGTGTGTGTGTGTGTGGTTGTTTCTCTGGAAAACCCTGATTCACTCCAGTTCAAGGGAAAAAATATTATCACAACATTGTATAAAGTGACAAACAGAAATAAAACCAAACAGTTACATGACATACTCAAGCCCATGGTACTCATGCCATGGACTCCATATCCCTTCTGAGACAATAATCACCACCTTATAATATGCTTCTAAAATTCTAGGATCTTACTCCCTCAACAGTAGGGACCATATCTGTTCTCTAATAAAAATCTCTTGCCAGGCTTAATAAAAATCTTGTATAGTCTAACTTCTCTTCCAAACAATAATATGGTTTCTGCCAAATACCTTTACTGAGTTGAAAATTCATGACATTTTTAACTTGGTCTGAATGCAGTCATATAATAAACATTTCCAGCTTTATTCCTGTCATTTCTCGAACAGATTCCTGTCTACCAGCCCCAGTCCAAGCTCTCCCTTAGCACATGCAGTTATTTTTTGAATCTCTATTGCCTCCTTATGCTCTGTTTCAACTGACCATCTGAGCTTCCAGAGGGCAGGGGTGCCATCGTATCACCCAGCACAGTGCTGGGCAGCCAGGACAAGTTTGTAACTGACAGCTGTCACGTGTTATGCTGGTAGGACTGGACAGCACAGATACTGGAAATGGAATGCTATAAACTATACATTTTTGAGCTTTTCAATTTAATTTCATTAAAATTTTATCACAACCTTGAGGTATAATGAAGGATTACTGAACAAAATGGCCATGTGTATTTGACTCATAGCTGAATCAGATTCAATATTCACACACCAAGCAAAAAGGCTTTGGTCTAATAATTTATATCAATAAAAAGCTCATCGGATCTGCATACATGGGGTCTTTTACTGAAAACACCTGGCTGTGCCTTGTACTGGAATAGTAGTGTTTCTCTACTTGATATACATTACAATCACCTGAGGGACTTTAAAAAATGCCAACCAACCACCTATGCCAGAGACCCATCTCAAAACAACAGAATCGCCGGGCTCGGTGGCTCAGCCTGTAATCCCGCACCTTTGGGAGGCTGAG